CTATGCAAAGTCTGCGGAAACTACTACATAATAATGCAGTTCTATTCCCGAAAGCTCAGGATGGCAAAATCATCGTAATCAAAAACTTGATTGATGACGCAATCGCAAAGTTATTGTCGCTTAATACAGTCAGGTATATTACCAAATTTGGATTGTCTAAATACAGTGTATGATCGACGTTCGAGAATCATACAGAACGACGATCACGGACCAATCAAAATCATAGCGAATCAATTATTCGTGTAACGTATAATCGCAGTTGTTCGAATAATACTATGCGCTTATGCAGCTAGAAAATCATTCTTTGACCATTAGGACAAAACATGTGCCAGTTTCTGAGCAATCTATAGAAACTTTAGCCAGCTTCGTACGTGCTTCCTGTGTTGAGCAACATGTTTTCAAATATCGAGGTGTTTTGTATCATCTGTATTATATTATCGTAACACCAGTTATCGTATCTGATTATATGCACCAAAACCTGGCAGTTGCACGAACGATATGATCTTTTCTCTCTTACCTTCAAGACACTAACAGGTATGCATAATATACTCTTGGTCAACAATACGAACAATACAATAAACAAAAAGCGGAATTAGCTATCTAATTTAACATGTCTGTTACTACAAATGAACGACAGGATTATGGATGGGGTTGGTTATGTAATTAGATATCTAAGATGTATAGGAAGATGTGTATGGAGGGATGGAGGATGACGTATAAAGATGAAATTCATAGGAAGGATGATGTGTAGTAGAATTATGGAAGAATACATGCAGGGAGGGTGTGTGGATGATGATGATGATGCGATGAGGCATAGGAGGATGTGTAGAATGACATAGGGATATGAAGGATGATGGATGATAAGTAGGGTAGGATAATGTATCACGGACGATGTGTAAGGATAACCACATAGGAATGATGCATCATAGCGATGGCATGTAGGGATGTAGCGGATGTCGTGTTGTGTTGTGTTGTGGGGATGATGTGTCATAGGAAGGATAGATATGTAGGGAGGTGTGTATTGAGGGTGAAGGATGATGTAGGGATGAAGTGTAGAGAGGATAATACATTGTGAGGATGACATGTAATGATGCGTAGGGATGGTGCATCATTGAGGTTATAGTTAGGAGATGTGTAGGGACGATGAGATGATGATCTAATGCATAATATACGTAGCGATGACTGTATGTAAACCATTTTAGATGATGTATATGGATTGTGGAAGGAAAGAATGGTATTGATATATGCTAAGACATTTGGGATGGCGCAACATCGATAGTACAGTGGCGTGATCGCTCGTTTCCATTGATTCATTCCCGATACATGGCGTTGTTATAAATCTCAAGTTATGAATATTCTATATTTGCTCAAAAAGCAATAATTTATACTGTCGTGACTTCAGACCTTAGATGCAAAATGATACAAGCGAGTTTATCTAAAAAAGAATGTTACAGTGCATTTCGTTAGATCTTTTGAATTCCCTAATGAAAGGCTCCAGTATGACACGCCGTAGATAGCACAGATACATTTCTTGGTGCTTCTTTATATACTGTTTGAAAGAGCAAAACAGATTCTACAAACTTCAATATTGTGAAGGGGTTCACTTGGTATGTGTAGTTTACCTATTAAAACACGCTAAAGAGAACGTTGTTAAAGCGAAATGGCGTAAATCTGACATCTTCGGAGGTCGTTATTCAAAAAACTGCTTAAAAGAGTCGTGATTATGAAACTATGGGTATAGGTGGGTGCATGACGACAATAATACTTTGGTGTTGCCATAGAAGAATGTGACCTTTAAACAAAGCGAAGTTTTGTGTAAAAGAGCCAATCAAATTTCATGGAATATTCGAAATTGATTTCCATGACCACGCCAAATTTGGTAATATACCTGACTGCATTAATAATATTATGCCAGGCAGTACTGCAGAAAAATATATATGTAATTATCTACATAACTCTGGTAACATTTGTAGTTGTAATTGTCATCACCCTGAAGGATGCTATGATATAATACCAAGTCTGGAAAAATTAAAATGCTGTCTGGTAATGTATATGACTCATAGTTATAGTAGCATCTGATCTAGGATGCTTTGAAAGATTTACTGATCCAATATCAGTTGCACGATCCTTCAATTTTCTTATTCTCTTTGTATTTGCCCTTGTTCTAGGCTTTGTTGAGGCCTCTTGTTGTTCAAGTTCTTCCAAATTTTTTGAGATGTTTCTTGTAATGTAATCAGGACTGGGAATATCAAATGATGCTTTTGGTGTTCCTAGTTGCTTGTAAAGAGCAATAAATGGTTTTGTTGCAACTTTCTCAATACCAGCATTATCTGGAAAAAGTAATGATGTTACTGTTATTGGATAACTAGGATCATTTCCACTTTGTAATTGATAATTTTTAACTTGGATCAAGATATACTGTATGTTACATGTTCATGAGAAAATTCCTCATCCTCACCAATATTGATCAACAATGTACTAATGAGTGTGCAAACATAGTGTGCTAACCTGATTTATTAGTATTGTTTGTTATACTAGTTATACAAGTTGATGCTTTTGCTAGTACTGGATCTGATGGATAATCAATCATAACTGACTCATGAGTATTGGATATGTAGTAGCACAAACTCATATAACTAGCAACAAGTTCTGTGGCCATTCAGTCTGGGGCACAACATCAATACACAATTGTGGGCCAAGGACTGCAATAGATTCTGATATTGTTATTTTCTTGCTATGATCCAATCTTCAAGGTCAAGACCTTCAATCAACTTGCTTTTTGCTATTTCTAGTATCTTTTCAGAGCTTTACTTGTGTAAGTATCTGTAGCTTTGAGCAATCCACCCTAAAGAGGCCACCCATAATGAAAGAAGTACTGCAGTGATGCCACTTGCTTTAATGTCTTTGGTTCTGTTTCTTGTGTCATAAAAGTGTCCAATGTGACAATATGATAAAATGGTGGATACAGGGCTAATCTGTTCTTCTGAATGTGCCAAGAAGGGTCACAACAAGATGATGGAGCAAAGTTTGATATTTTTGATGCTGTATCAGTGACATTATAAATAGCAAATGCACAGCCTCCTGATTCATATGTTGGTAGGGTAGCTAGTGCATGTTGTAAACATTCAAAGTTTGTTTCTTCTTCAGTCAGTATTTTGGCTTCATCAAATATGAATAATAATTGTATCCCACTTTCTGATTCACCACTGTTTAAAATTTCTTTTGAAGAATCCCAACATGTCTTGACTAACTGCTTGATGGAATGCCATTCTGCTTTATCATAATCATTTCTGCTGCCAATTATATTTTGAACCTCATCCATGCATTTCTTCATTCCCTCTTCAATAACATTCCAAAATTTTGATTGATTATTCAAAGTATGGGCTTTGAACCAATCTGTCTTGTTACCTTTAAAGTTCGTAAGATGTCTCATTGTTGAACAAATAAATGTAACATATGTGAATAATGCTGTCTGATCATCAATGAATATCTGAAATAGTTGATCAAGGAGGGATACCAGATAATTTTTTGTTATGAAGACATACATAAACCATATAGACATGCTCTGCAGCTGCCCATAACATTTTTGACTTCCCTATAGTTGATGCTTGCACCAGAGCTACTGATGAATGATATTTTACTGTGTCCCATTTATTTAATGAATCATTTATGTGATCAAGAAAGGTCTGAAGAACCCCATATCTGTCGATATATTTTTGCTCGTAAAAAGCGGCCTCAGTAGCTATGCTACTATCGACGTCGAACGCAAATTGTTTCGCTAACAAAAGAAGCAAAAGTTAACTAACATAAATAATGTACCAGATTTTGTCAAAGAAATGCTAACCTTTACTGCTGGTTCCGCTGACCACTACATAAAAGAAAGTAAAAGAACATAAGTTATCAACACTGCAAACTCAAATGAGTGGATGAAAACAGATATAATCTGTTCTATAATCCTCCCAACGCGCGTGCTGTAATGCATTCCATCCCTCTGTTGATCCCATGGCTACTCTACGAACCCCCGTTGCTCCTCTATTAACCCATATTGTCTTGTATCACCCCAGTTCGTCTTTGAAATGAGTTTATGTAAAGCCTAGCCCTGCTACGATTCAGCTCGTCCCAACACTGTTGTGTTGATAACATTCGTAACTATCCTTCGAATAAACGTGTATTGCTTGCTTACCTTGTTGCTTTTTATACGCTGTAATGATCTCTTCATCCGTAGCATCTCGCTTAGTTCTTATGAAATTAGCCAAAAACGAATCGTGACTGGTCCATGTCGTCAGTGTTATGAAAAGAACGTGTGCGCGTTTATATCTTTGGGCATATCACGTTGTGGAACATTCGCAAGCATCAAATCAGTGATTGATGCTTTAACACTAATACAGTCAACTGCCGTTAATATTAATTCGTTCCCCCTATCAACTGTATAAATTAAGTATTGTAAAAGACAATCCATTGACTATCATTCCTATATATGGTAAAATTATTCTCGGGACGCTCACTCCTTTTAATTCCGACTCTTAATAAACTTCAACCGTTCAAATTACAAACGAGTTTGATGGATTATCACAGAAACGATACTGCTAAAAAACGTTCCAAACCATATACTCATTTAACTGCCATACAAAAGAAGGAAATCTGTCAACGTCAAAAAGATAATCCTTATAGATGATTTATCAGTCGTTCGTAGTCAAGTTTCATGTTATCGTAGGTTACAGTATAAACAGTCTTCTATCGAAAAATTATTTTTATTATTCACAATGAACAACTGTATTAGCTCTTTTGTGCAACCATAAATCGATTATTCGCGTTTGAAGCAATATTTGTTCTTGTCTAAACTTTTAACAGAAACTATTAATTCAAGTCTGTCTTTTTATGAGCGCTTGGTGTTATTATAAAGCAGCAAGACCGCCAGAATCTCTCTTCATTCATACCTAACAATCATTAATTTAAATCGATCGCAAAATCAATCGCAAAAGTTACTTGATCATTTTTGACTTGAACATTTGAAAATACCCATTGCCACCAGCGAATTTTATTGTAGATTACTGATCGGGATTCATACTTTATTATAAACTCCACAAAAATAAACATTACGACATAAATCGAAAAATTGATAGAATAATCAATTAATAGAGCCTACAAAAAGGCATAAACAAAGTAAACCATTCAGCAAACGACGTTACTTTCCAGACGTCGAAAACTGTTGAAGAACTTTAAAAACTTATTTGAAAAAAAAATGCTGGGCTGGATCCGAATTTTTTATTTAATCAAATGGCAACTGAAATCCGCGAATTACGCGAAGAAAAGACATTGCAGCCTCTACGTTGAAAAGTTTCTACAAACGAAAAATGAATCCGAGGAAGAGAACACTAGAAGCTATCGAAGAATGGATTGATAAGAATAAAGAAGTAGAAGATTAATACGTTAATAATAATAAAGTGTAGTATAGGCTTTATCAGAGTGACCAAAGAATAGATTATACTCATTAATAGCTTTGGGTCCGAGTATTTTCCTCCAATGCAATCACTCTGGTACTTTATTATTACCGTATCCTTCCGAATTTAAGCACCACCCGAATTTAAGCACCACCCGGACTTTAGGCGGAAAAACTTGAAAAACAAAAATAAGCACCACCCAAAATTTATGCAA